AAGATGTTCCTCATCGATTGCTCTCCATGCTTGGATAACTGCCCACTTCAGCTCCTCTGTGCCCTGAAACTGAAGGTTATTCGCATAAACGTGTCCGACTATTAAGCACCAGATATGTTCCATCGGATTGAGATCGGGACTGCAGGCTGTTCATGGCAGGACGCTTATGTTTTGGCGTTGCAGCCACTCATTCGTTGCACGGCTCACGTGGATGAGGCGCTGTCTTGTGGAAAGACATAGTTGAGGTGACGGCAATGGGACAGAAAGGGTACTAGATGATGCCCCAAGATGTTCTGGAAAATCTTGGAATCCGTACTGCAGCACACGAAAGGTAGATCCAACACGACATCGTTGCAGAATGCACACCACACCATAGACTTCCTCCACCGAAATTGGGACGGCTGAAATAGACTGGTTCCTTCCTCAAGTCGCACCACTAGTGCTTGCTTCCGTCAGGACTGTCCGGATTGAATTTCTTTTCATCTGAAAAGACGACCTGAATAGGAATTATTCAGCTCCATGATGAGATCTTGATGCAGATCTACCTTTGCCCAATCTCTCCCTAGGTACATCTTTGCAAATCCGAGTCGTGCCTCTCTGTGGCGATCGGTGATTCATGGCACCTTCTCCATTGCTTGCCTGGGATGTTCTCGCATCCTCGTACTGCTCTCCAGACTGTAATTTTCGACACAGAGAGGTTTAAAAGTTTAATTCCGATCGGATCTGGTTCAAGGAGGACGTACTGTTGGAAGCAGTCTTCAGAATACCCCGCCCGCCACGGGCAGTAATCCTTCATGGGTGTTCGCAGTCGGTGTTAATCCAGGGACATCAGGGCTCTCCANTTAAAAGTTTAATTCCGATCGGATCTGGTTCAAGGAGGACGTACTGTTGGAAGCAGTCTTCAGAATCCCCCGCCCGCCACGGGCAGTAATCCTTCATGGGTGTTCGCAGTCGGTGTTAATCCAGGGACATCAGGGCTCTCCAAATCTTTGAATGGACGAGGGGGATCTATTTGTCTAAAGATGGCTCGAGTACTGAGCCCAGCTTCATGACGAGCCTTCTCATCAGAGGAAAGCAGATGACCACGAGTCATGTTGATAGCCAGGTTTAGAAACGCATTTGCTACACATGCTTACCTTTACAAGTATCTTCAAACACGAAATTTGCTCTCCTCCATGAATAATTGTTCACTTTCTCAGGGTGACCTTATACTTAAGAAACCTTGCAAAAACCGATAACCTGTTTTAAAGAAGTTCAGAAAAATGCAGCTGCGGCTACAGAACGGATACCTAGGTGTTTCGTGCTGGGGAATCCATTTATGATGCTGGAAAAAATCCTGAATTATTGTTTTTCTTTTTTTGAAAGTGTGAAATTTGAGGGCGACCTTATAATTATGAAACGTACTATATAAGTGAATGGCGCAAGTTTCATAGACTCCACTTCTAATTGTACGTTGCCGTCAAAGGCCTTAAGGAAGGACCACGGATGAACATAAGGAATCAAAAAGAAAAAAGTTTTATTAATCAAACGGTGATCTAAGTATGATTAATAGACAAATAACAATACTGTGTACCCCGGTGGTCATTTCAGCAGGGTACACGTAAAGACATTTTGGAGCCACACAACAGAAGCAAGGCTCACATCTGAACATTCAAGTTCGAACCAACTTTCACCCCTTCACAAACTAATCTGGAATCGTCTATCGACTCGTCACTGCCTTCTTACGCAGAGCAAATCTCCTTTGAAACATGAGAGGATCTACGAAAACCAACTACACCGTGATGGGACATTTCTGGATCTTTGAAGTCATAGTTGTTGGGCAAAATAACATGCAATTTCGACAAAACTCAGTTTTGAATCGACCTATAACAGAACAAACTAAAGAACACTTATTCGTGTTTTTTTTGCCACATTTAAGGGATGTTTGAGGCGGGTACACTGAATCAAAGCAGCACACTGCTCTACTCAACACCTGATAGCAATTAGACAGGATATGGCAAGAAGAAGATAATCAAAGCTTGCATAGATGCTGCATTAGAGGATGGACAAATTCCTCGGCCCATCAGATGCGCTAAAAAGGTGCATCTAACTCATTACTATTGCAACGTTGTAAGGCTAGGAATATTCCAGTTTTTGAGCCTAACAAAAGATACCAAATCATAGTAGGTCACTGGAACAATTAGCTGGTTCGAGTCGTTGGGAAAAGTTGCAATATTGACAATGGAATGCGACTCTGGAGACAAATTTCACCCATCTAAAAGACACAGTTCACAACAAATGGTGACGCAAAAGGACTAAATTTCTCGGACCTAGGACCCCCAAGGACAGCACAAGNGACGCTGTGATTCGAAAAACGGCCTAGATAGGACGTAATAGGGGCCTTCAAACCGGCTTAGCCGCCCAAAAGCGGACGAGTTTTCGCGGTTTTGTAGAGACCGTAGATATTTCACAGTTCCCATCGGAACGTGCCTTTGCACGCAGTCAGTTTACTGTAGCTAGCTGTACGCAATGGAACACACTCTTGGACAGCTGGGCCCAAATGTACCTTGTATGCGATTTTAGCGTCACATTCTCGTCCCAAATCTTTCTACTTTTTTAAACCCTGATATTTCTTTTGCTGTTTTCGGCTTTTCTCCTTCACTGCACTACTCTAAACTATCACATCCATTATTCATCCCAAGTATATATCCCGAAATTTCTCAAGTATATATCCCGAAATCATTGGAATTATACTTTTGGTAAACTTTTTGACCCGTGAAATGTTCGACACTTCGATCCCTGTTACTGAACCACAGTTCTAAGAACGCCTGAATTTAAGACCAACTCTAATAAGTTATAACATACCGTGGTTAATTTTCCGTGTAAGTGTGAACGGATTCTGAACGACTTTTGGACGAGCAGAGAGTAAATGCGAAGGGAACGTCACCACTTTTTTGCGTGAGATACCAAGAAGAGCTGGAAGTTCGGCTCGGTAAGCTGCTACATTGCGTGAATGAGATCGTTGAACACGAGCAAAACTCTGAAAATTGTTCGGATTGATTGAAGGAATGAATTTTGAAGAGTCATTTTTGAGGTTGAAGTTGATCCATGTGAATCTACTGCATAGCAGCAACTACATAACTAAGAATTTGGATGAAATGCAGACGTGAGTTCGGCCGGCGCTGCATTGACATCGAAAATGTAAACCAATTGCATATAACACGAGAAGCGCGTGTATCATTTTTTTTATTGTGAGCATGATTTTCGATGTTTTACGCACAACATTTGCCTCTTGGAAACGGCGTTGGTGACCCGCAGCCTCTTAATTGCCAAAGTTCTATGTTTGGCTAAGAGTGAAAGTTGTTATCAGAAGATCCCTCACGCTCTTTAGTGGAAGATGTTCTGCATTCAAGAAAAATGCCAGCTGACTTCAGAATACATTACGGATCGGTGACTGAAAAGCGCAAAAGCGAGCAATAGCACTCACTTAATTCGGATGAACCACTTATTTTCGATGTACAACATCGGCTATATATATCAGAAAAAATGTCCCATGACCTAAAACGTTACAGTGAAAGGGATTTGATTGGATTGTCTCATGATGGAGAAGGGGGGTGGGTACATACGTGCGTTCGAGGATGCGCGCGGCAAATTGCGCGGCGAAATTCATGGCGAATCGAACGACTCTGGCGTCCATTATTGGGGCACAAACTTGAAGTAGAGTAGTTCAGTGGGGTCACCTGGTCCTAATGATCTTTTCTACTTCAAATTTGGGCCCCAATGATAGGCGTTTAAGTCGTTGAAATTGCTACGAACTTCGCCGCGCAATTTGCCGCGCGGATCCTCGGACGCACGTATGTTCCGTCCCCTGGAGAGGGTTCCGTCTATTTTTCATATTGATGCATCCTAATCAAGACCCTGTAACTGTAACGTTAATGTCACTTTCCGCAACTCGACAAAATGGGAATATTTGATGAAAGTGCAACAGTCCGAAATAGGAAGTCCGCTGAATGCTATTTTAATATTGATCTGGTGATCTTTTCACCACAAGATCTTAAGATTACTTCCATTGAAAAAATTGTATTTGCAAGCTGTCACCATATCGTAAAACAAGGGGCTGCCGTTGGATGCCACCAAAGTTAGCGGCTGCCTAATGTTACAAGTGATCGTTCCGTTTCAGCGTTACCGCGCAAGAAATGGACTCCTAAAACAGACCAACTTTGACAACAACGACCTCAGCCGTAAACAAAGAAGTTCTGCCGTAACGGCAGTGATCATAACTCTGTCGTACGATGGAAAAGCTCGCAGAATAGCTAAGTGTCATCGTAGAGGATTTGCACGTAGTCAGGAAGATGATCCGGGTTGACTCCAGTAGAAAATCGCCCCAGGGTGATATTCTCACAAATGTTGAGATTTCCGATGTTATGTCAGGTATAGAGCCTCTTCGAACACGGCCATTAGCTTTAACGACAAACCAACGGGTCGCCATACGTTGGAAAACCGTCAAATTGGGACGATGATAAAGGTATTGACAGCTGCAGTTTGTTCGACTTGCAAACTCTGGCCATGTGGACAAAGAACATCGCATCGTCTAGATGCGTGCTCTCAATTTTCGCCTAAGGCAAGCTTGCACATTACTAAAATCACTTGGCAGAGTTTTGTATGTGAACTTCTTCTTCAATATACATCATCAATAATATACATGTTTCGATCAATGGAACTAACCAAAAGAGGGCAAAGTTAGGAAGCGCCGAATACGTTAGGGCCATGGGATCCCAACTTCAAACGTAGCGAATGTTTCTTAACAAACTACCGAAGTCAAAAATTCAAGAATAAAAGATTCGAATTAGGTGGATCAGGATTTGTAACGATTAATAATCGACCATGATCCAACTTGCATGTTGAAGGCACAGTTTCTGATAATTTTAAGGTACCCTCTTTACGTTGAAAAGTAGAGGTGCCCGTGGAGAACAGGTGAAAGTGTCAGTGAGTGGAGAATAGTGCATCGGTGGTGAAAAAAGCGAGTAAATCCGCCAACCTCGTGAAGAGCAAGGTTTCCAAAAAGTAATGAAGTTAGACGAAATGAAATGACCGAAATGGCATGGAAGGAGTATCTGGACGAAGTTTCAGGTGTTGCGATTGTAAACAGTCGATTAGATTAGGTCAGAAATGCTCAAATTGCTCTTTACTGCTATGGGCCACAACATGTTGATTGAATTTTTTCGAATGGGTGGCTCTCATGAAAAGTGCAGCTTCAACGCAGCCGTTAAAACTCGTCCGCCTTTAGGTGTGGTATTCAGCCGATACATTCTTCGAGCCGTCATAACGCTCTACCTAGGTCGTTTTTCCATCTGACAGCGCCGCGTATGGTATACGGGTGCGGCACAGGCTCATTCTAGGAGGATATTTCAGAAACCTTTTTATCGTGGACTGTGCTTTAAGGTATTGCTTTTAAACATGTCTGTGATCTTTCTAACGACGCCCTGGTTGTTGAGGTTCCTTGATGCAGGTCTTGATGCCAGCAATTTTTTAGGCAGTAGAGATAAATTATGCTTAGCCGAGGAACTCTCCCGAGATTGGTTAACATTTCAGTCGTTGAATGCGAATGGAGGCGTCACCTCCCTAGGGTCCATATTCAGTGTTGGAAACACTCACACATATCTGGAGGCATTAACAATGCAATTCGTAACCAAGTCTAATTTCCCGACGGGATGGAGCAACAAAACCCACAGAAAAAAGTGAGA